TCAACTTCACATACACATCATACATTATATCATACTTATGCCTGTGCATTTGGGCCAGTCCTTTTAAGGCCAAAAATTCGTCAAAATTGCACATATTCACCATGGGTGAATTTAGTTCACACTTCATGCATACATTGTACATTATGGTATCTTGAATCACGTTTTGTTTTCCAAATCGGGTTTTAACTGAATACAGTTCAGCATCCATATCTCAGGCATGCCTGAACCGATCAAGACCACACTTCACACACATCATACAATGTGTTGTACATATGCAGGTGCATTTCGAATCAGACCACTGAAAGTGGTCTGAGATTTTGGTCATGATCTGCTTTGAATGTATATGTCACTCAAATATAAACGGAATGGGGAAGTGTCATTGACAATGACTTGTTTAACAATCTGATTCATGTTGGCTGAATGGCAGCCATTTTGCTTTGTAATGAATGGTAAGGGAAAGTGAGGTATGGGCGGGGTCGTCTGACAGAATTGTTGTCTTTAACAATTGTTTGATTTAGGTAACTTGGTTATTTCATTCATCAGCATAAAATATTTCCTGTGTCTGATTAAAAAATTGTGAATGAGGGGTATGAATATATTACAAGCTAATATGTAATTTCATACTAATTACCCAATTTTTTAGTTTTTCCATTAATGTCTTAAGAACCACTCAATAGATTTCAATGAAACTCAATATATATATGAGACAGTGTAAAGATCAGATTGCATTTGGGTTAAAATTCACATGATAATTTCTAACTTTTCAGATTTTCTCCTGTTATATATGTTCTTTGGGGTCACATGTTAATAATAACTTTAAATAACCGAATGTATACATGTTTTATACATATCATTATGTATTCAAGATGTGATTCATAGACTGTAAGTTTTCTTTTATATATAGAAATACATGGTGCAATTTTGTTTAAAATTAGTACAAATTATAATGGTACATTCTACAGGCATTTTGTGGTGGTATATGTACTGGGGCACAATACAAAAAAAATAAAAAAAGCATTTTCTCTATTTTACTTCACTGTCTAATTTCTATTTTATTTCTGGATCTGTTGTAGTATCAAGGTGAATGCATAACTTGACTTGATTTTGTACATGGGCTATGTCATGTAATGTTTTATTTATGTTATATTATAGGGGAACTGATACATTGTCTTTTCATGTGCCATACAAAAAATTATATATTTGGTCCTAATTTTCTCACCAAAATTGTGCTCATTATTTTTTAAAGCCAAATATTATTTGCATAGTTATTGTAATTTCGTAATATACTTGCAATAAGGATGGTCAGGTTAATAAAGTTAATATAATATTAAATACATGATTAATTTTATATTGCTTTATATTTTCATTAATTTGCGTCTCAACTAATATTTTGACTAATCCAATGTTTAATATCTTGTTACATTATGGACAAGGTTTTAATTGTTATGCTATGTTTTCATGTTTTTTTCCTCTGACAGCTAACAGAATATCTTTGTGAAGGTGACTTGGGAACATATCTATTATCAAAACGGTGTACAAGTGTGGATCAGATGAAACACTTTGCCATGCAGATCAGTAGTGGATTATATGAATTACATGAGAATGACTTCATCCACCGTGATCTGAGACTGCAGCATGTCTATGTCGGCTCAACTCAAGAGGGCGCTATTCAGGTATCATTACTGCTACTTTTTAACCATGTGAAAGTCACCATGTAGTCAAACTTTATGTCACTTATGAGGATGTGATGTGATAAAATAAAAGTTCTGGTTATTCAAGATGGGTAATTGCACTCTGGAAACAAGGACCAATTGGTTAGATTTTTGTTGCCACATGAACAACAATGACAGAACTAATCACTTTTTATTTGTAGGTTAAGATTGGTAGATTATGCCGTATCAAACAAATACCAGTAGGATGTATGACACATTTCTGTCAAATGGAACAAGATTCCCTACATTGGTGAGTAGTTATTAGTGTGAGTTAATTTTGTGATCAGGGAGTATGAGTAGTCTGTTGAACTAGGGAGTATGAGTAGTCTAGCTGTTGAACTAGGGAGTATGAGTATTCTAGCTATTGAACTAGGGAGTATGAGTAGTCTAGCTGTTGAACTAGGGAGAATGAGTAGTCAAGCTGTTGAACTAGGGAGAATGAGTAGTCTGTTAAACTAGGGAGTATGAGTAGTCTAGCTATTGAACTAGGAAGTATGAGTAGTCTGTTGAACTAGGGAGTATGAGTAGTCTGTTGAACTAGGGAGTATGAGTAGTCTGTTGAACTAGGGAGTATGAGTAGTCTGTTGAACTAGGGATTATGGATATTCTGTTGAACTAGGGAGTATGAGTAGTCTGTTGAAGTAGGGAGTATGAGTAGTCTGTTGAACTAGGGATTATGGGTATTCTGTTGAACTCGGGAGTATGAGTAGTCTGTTGAACTAGGGAGTATGAGTAGTCTGTTGAACTAGGGAGTACGAATAGTATGTTGAACTAGGGAGTATGAGTAGTCTGTTGAACTAGGGAGTATAAGTAGTCTGTTGAACTAGGGAGTATGAGTAGTATGTTGAACGAGGAAGTATGAGTAGTCTGTTGAACTAGGGAGTATGAGTAGTCTGTTGAAATAGGAAGTATGAGTACACTAGTGTAGTCTGTTGAACTAGGGAGTATGAGTAGTCTGTTGAACTAGGGAGTATGAGTAGTCTGTTGAACTAGGAAGTATGAGTAGTCTGTTGAAGTAGGGAGTATGAGTAGTCTGTTGAAGTAGGGAATATGAGTAGTCTGTTGAACTAGGGATTATGGGTATTCTGTTGAACTAGGGAGTATGAGTAGTCTGTTGAACTAGGGAGTATGAGTAGTCTGTTGAACTAGGGAGTATGAGTAGTCTGTTGAACTAGGGAGTATGAGTGGTCTGTTGAACGAGGGAGTATGAGTAGTATGTTGAACTAGGGAGTATGAGTAGTCTGTTGAAGTAGGGAGTATGAGTAGTCTGTTGAAGTAGGGAGTATGAGTAGTCTGTTGAACTAGGGAGTATGAGCAGTCTGTTGAACTAGGGAGTATGAGTAGTCTGTTGAACTAGGGAGTATGAGGAGTGTAGCTGTCGAACTAGGGAGTATGAGTAGTCTGTTGAATCAGGGAGTATGAGTAGTCTGTTGAACTAGGGAGTATGAGTAGTCTGTTGAACTAGGGAGTATGAGCAGTCTGTTGAACTAGGGAGTATGAGTAGTCTGTTGAACTAGGGAGTATGAGGAGTGTAGCTGTCGAACTAGGGAGTATGAGTAGTCTGTTGAACTAGGGAGTATGAGTAGTCTGTTGAACTAGGGATTATGGGTATTCTGTTGAACTAGGGAGTATGAGTAGTCTGTTGAACTAGGGAGTATGAGTAGTCTGTTGAACTAGGGATTATGGGTA